CCCGAAACCTGACAGATCTAGAGGAGATCTGTGTGGAGGAGTGGGCCAAAATCCCTGTTGCAGTGTGTGCAAACCTGGTCAAGAACTACAGGAAACGTTTGACTTCTGTAATTGCAAACAAAGGTTTCTGTACCAAATGTTAACACTGATTTTCTCAGGTGTTCAAATACTTATGTTCAGCAGTGCAAGACAAATAAATTCTTTAAAAATCATACAATGTGATTTCCTGAATTTTTTTTTTTAATTCCGTCTCTGAGTGGGAATGCACCTACAATGTGAATGTCAGACCCCTCCATGATTTCTAAGTGGGAGAACTTGCAAAATCACAGGGTGTTCAAATACTTCTGTTCCTCACTGTATGTGTTCAGCAGTACATGTGTGATTCAGATGAAACAAACAGCTGAGGAGAGGTAAACATACTGTTTAAACAACTATCAGTTATGCTGTCAGGCTTAGTTACTAAGGTGTTAATAATGACTTTGAAAAGTCTTTATTGCACTTGGAGCCTGTGCTTAAGCCTAAAAACAGTGTAAATATAGTGTAGCTCAAGTGAGAATATGGAGGGATGGTGGACATATCTAACTGGTATTTACTACTGAGGTGGAATAGCACTTCATCTTATGAGCAATAAGGTTTCAATCTCATGAAGCCAAAGACAGTTTGGTTACTGGGTCCGATGCCGCCCTCTAGTACTTGTTAAAGTTGTCTGATACTACACACCGATACCACTTAATGGCAACATCATGTTAACCTCAGGCTGGTCAAGCAGGTCGCTGGGCAGGGGAGAAAATATTTCAGAGATTCAGGGATATTTGAAGATAAGTGACGATGACTAAAAGTAAAACTCAGATTCTCTGCTCTGCTGTGTGCGTCTGTGAGGCATCAATGTGAAGAACGCTTTTGACACAGACATGAGGTCACATTTTACAGAGACGTGAATGCTCGACATGTGCAACAAATCCAGCAGTAATGGTGAGAGTAATTAATCCGACACCTGTTAAACAAGCAGAACACAAGAGACTTGCAGAAATGTGAAAGTACTTCTTCTACCACTGGTTCCCTCTCTCTCTTGAATAAATTAATTCTAAATTATATGGATTAATATAGGCTAGTTATAGTTATTAAGTTTTTTTAATGGTTACCAAATGTGTGTTGTTTATGGGCTTCCTGGGAAACACACCGAGGTGCTTGATTAGATGATTGATTGGTTGGATCGATTTTTGTTGCCATGGGAGCAAATATTTTGGCCAGGGGAATCACTGAGCTATATCCAGAAAATATAGCAACAAAATATGTAAACAAGGCTGAAACACCTGTACAAGTCAACTTATGGAAATAGAAATTAACTACTTCTAGAAACCTGCTTCCTTATTGAGTGAAAGTAAAATGGGAAATAAATCAGCCAACATTAACACAATGTCAGGCTGAATGAATGATATGGAACAAAATGTAAATTCTGTCCAATCAGCAAACTAATCAACATGATGAAGGGCCTTGGTTTATCAGGTATTCAATATATTGGTTTATCCACAATTTATTAACTGATAAATATATGAATAAATTATATGATATACGGTATCAAACTCAAACATATTTCCCACCTCATGGAAATTATCCTCGGTGATACCACTGTCTTCAATGTGAAGAATGCTTTTGAGTGTTTGTACATAGAGGAGGTCCACCTCCTCCAGGTCCTCCAGCATCAGGGGGATGCAGCACAGCTGTTTCCAAACCATAGGAGCCAGGTGCAGGTCCAGGGGTTTCTTGGTGCGGATGGCAACACCCATAAGGATGCCCAAAAATTTAAATTGGAGCATGTGCTCATCCAGGCAGGCAGACGGGTTGAGGAGAAACCTAGGGAGATGAAAAATACAGAAATATGATTTGGTTTAAACTGCATTCAAATTACAAGATTAAAATGGTACTCTAGTTATGTAGTGTGCAATCAGCCAAAGCAGGACACACTGCCACCCTCTTAGTGCTGTGCCAGGCATGAGAAGATCTTAGAGAATCATCATTTCAAATATTGTAGTAAATATTCCTAGTTGGAGATGTGGATTCTGCTGCATGAGTATGAGATGGTTTTCTAGATGTTCTAATATGTTTTTGTTATTGTTGAATTGTTATGGATTTTTGGGGGACAAAGCTACATTTACAGAGCTGCTTTGTCTCAGTCTTGAGATGTATTCAAAAAGAGTTCAACAAAAGGAGGGGCTGTGAGAGTGAAACGGAAAGTTACAAACATATAAGGGAGGGGCTGCAAAAGATAAATATGTAAGAATGTTGAAAATGCAACAGGGCTTCAACCGAGGATGTAAAAAAATAAAATGCATTTTCAATTAAATTAAATATGAAATATTAAATAAATACATTTTAAAAGGATCTTGGATTTTAAATCTATGTATTCTGCATTTCTATTACCAGTACTGGAGAACAGGGATGCATCTACAAACAGCCACCATCAGTACTACTGTATTGGTCAATATCATCTTTAAAAGGAATTTCATATCGATCCAAAACTGCTTGTTTAAAACATTTTTCAGCATGCAGAATTGTTTTGTGATTTAATTTTTGTTACTGTATGTTACTCCAAATAAGGCCAGTGTGGTTGTATGTCTGAAAATGCCGATGTTCACCTGCACAAAAATCACACATTTGCTATTCAGTCTCGTCACTAAGGATGGGGAAAACAATCAGTGATATTCATTTCCACAGTGAATACAAATGTCTCTACTTGTACCTCTACTAGTGATACAATACAATGTGTCCTAAACCTCTGAGTTCTTTGGAAGAATGTTGGTGGCCTGTCATTCACCTGTCTCTGTTGTAGCCAACCTCTGCTGTGGCATTGGGGGAGGGGATGAGCAGGTCTACCACCCCTGTCTCCAACTCCTATAAGAAAATATCAAGCACAAGCCTATAACACGGTACCATAAGAAAATATCTGGTAGATTTTAAAGTATTTCAACAAACAGATTTCTGTAGATGACCATACCTGACACATCTCTGTGATTGTGTCGTCAAAGACTCCACCCGCATCATCCGCCCCCTCTCCCACCAGCTTGACCTTCCAGGCCCTTGAGGGCAGTCGAAGGTCTGAGGCATTCAGCTTCACCACCTGACGAGCGATCTGCACAAAGATGGGCTTACACTTCCGTCCCCTGCAAACAGTTACAGTCCAAAAGGGAAACAGTGAACTAAGGGAAGTTTAAACACAGAAAGGGAACATTGTCAAAAGTCAGATATTTGAAAAGATAAGTTTAGGCCTAAAACCTGATGTTAACTGGCACAAGAAGAGCAAACTCTGCCTGCTGCTTATGTTATTTTCATTCTTCCTTTGTTTTGACATTCAGCAACAGCCCACAGAGGTTTGATTCTGTTTTGGGCACCATTCTTTGAGTGTTTGTGTATGTTTATATATCCATCTTCTAGTTTATTTGGATCTATTGTAACTGTTCTCAGGTTCCTTTTGGATCAGGTCTCCATTTTTAAAAATTGGTTTATGCAGAGAGAGTTCGGGTAGGCTTTCAAGGGTCCCTTACAAATCAGGTCCAATATCCTGGACACAAACAAAGACCTGTATGCTACTATAGCATGTGAATAGAAAGAAAGCCACTTTCGGCTTTTCCTGTTTTTTTTTTTTTTTTTTTTAAAGGGGGTCGCCACAGCAAATCGTCACACTGATGACTCGCATTTGACATTTGGCACGTGTTTTGCGCAAGATGCCCTGGATTCGAACCTGGGGGGCCGTGGCGAGACCACCACGCCTTAAGCACTAGCCTACCAGGGACAGGTTACTATAGCATGTGAATAGGTGATAGTAAATGCATAAGAACGAAGTCCAGTGGAGAACTGACCGGGTGGAGATTCGTTTGACGGTGATTTGTGGACCATAGTTTTTTCCCTGCACCATGGTCTTGCCTATGGAGCGCACCATGGGAAGAGTATACACTCTGGGAGCCAACAGGGGCCTCAACTGGCCCTGGACAATCCCCCAGGTACCAGCGTTATAATGGGAGGTACAGCTCTGCAAAGTAAGAATTACATTTAGCATAATTTTAGAACAGAGGAAAACACATCATGAGTCATGCAGGCAACTTGCTCCAATCAGGAATGGCAGGTTTTTTAATACCCTGCAAAATTCTAGATTTTCAACAACTTGTATTCATCTAAAATTTCCAGTGTTAATGGTTTGATATGCAATATGTGAAGACCTAGTTTTCTTGTGTTTATGCTTACCTGGTTGTTGGGGCTGAGGTTGAGCAATCTCCAGGAGGAGTACATGAGGTCAGAGAAGTGGTAGAGGAGGCGTAGGCGAGCCCTCACCACCTCAATGCTCACCTCTTTTAGCCCGCTGTACTGAGGAGGCACCGCCACAGGCAGACCCAGCTGGAGAGGAACCGACGAGCCTGAGAAGGACGAGGCAGAGTGAAACGCCAAGACACACAAGATGGGGGATGGAGAGAAGAGGACAGAGCACAGAGGCATCAAAAGAGGGACAAGAAGTGAATAAAAAGATGGTGGGAGAAAAAAGTTGTAAAACTCAAAAACCTAACACTGAATACAGTATTGTAAATGTATTCTGTAAAAATGAGCAGAATTTCTTAGGTAGCTGTAGCATAAAAACAGTAGCATCTAAAAAGTATTACAAATGTATTAAAAAAATTTAGTAAATGATTACTTTTGTGATGAATTAATTTACAGATTACCCACTTTATTATACAATTGTTTAGTCTAGGAAATTTTGAAAAATACAGGAAAAATATAACAGAGAAACAAAACACCTGTCATTTCCTAGAAGGCATGTGTGATGTCTTTGAAACGCTTGTTTTGTTTGCCCAGTTGACCAAAGTCCCAACATATCTCACTTATGGCCATAAAAAGAAGTAAATTCTCACTCTCAAGAAGTGCATTAATTAAATAATCAACCAAGGTATTTTCACAAACATACATTAAATCATCAGTGTTTGGTCACCAAACAGTGATGAGGCATCATCTGAAAACAGTGTGCTGTGCCCCACTTTGTATTTACTACACATTGTGCACATGTTTGCAAGTGTGTCAAACCTGGTGCTCGAGGTGGCACAGAGGGAGCGGTCCAAGCAGCACTGTGGCACCGTCCAGCAGAGATCTGGTGGATGTTTTTGCCCTGCAGCGTTGTCGCCAGTGTGGGTTCTCTTACATGGTTTGTGTGACCCAAACCCAGCTAGACAACAGTGTTACAGTTCATACAAAGTCACCAAGAATAATCATTTTGCAGTAGTACCACAAAGTCTAACTAAAAATCTTTGAGTGGGGCTTCACTGTGTGACAGTAGGTTACCTGTCCCTCTGAGTTGCTACCCCAGGTGTAAACATCTCCTGTGGAGGACAGCACCAGAGTGTGTTCAGCTCCAACAGCAATATCCTCGATGTGGATCCCTGACAGTGCTGGCACCTGCTGGGGCCGGTTGTGGTTCCTGGCTCGGCCCTCTGGCAAGCCAATTAAGCGGTCTACAACAGAAAACAAAAACAAATTTTACTTTGACACAATTATAAGTCAAAAAAAAAAAGCAAATGGTCTTTATATAAACTCTACTGTGTGTTTGGTAGAATTTGAAAAACTAATGTCATAGCTACTGAAAAATAACTATGAATACAACATTTGCCATTTTTTTTTATTATTATAATTATTATTAGGGGTACAACTAAATTATTTTAATCTAATAATCTGCCAATAAATAATTTGATTATCAGTTCATTTTTTCATCTACAAAAATCAGAAGACAGTGAAAAATGCCAAAAAGATTCACCAAGACCAAGAGACATCAAATGGTAATGTTTGCCAGATCAAGAGTTAAAGTTTACTATCAAGAAAAAGCAACAAATCATCACATTTGACAAACTTGAACCAATAAATATTTGGCATTTTGCTTGGAAAATTACTTAATAAATCAATACTTTCTGTGAAATGACAAATTTTTGCAGGTCTAATCATTATCGTGTTAATCATGAGTTGGGGAGAAAAGAAAACCTAGCATACCTTGGCCAAACGTAAACACTTTGCCATCTTTGGTTAAAGCCACAGAGAACTGTGTTCCACACGCCAGTTTCTTGATGCCAATTCCACATAGTACTTCCACTTTCTAAGAAATTAAACATTGTAATTATATATTCTAACTCATTAAAATACCAGATCCTGTATAAACAATGTCATAGGTTTTAAAGTTTAAATGAAGCAGTAGGCCTCATAGTGCCATAGTGTTTACCTGAGGTGAAGACTTGGCTGTGGAATTGCCCAGTCCTAGTTTTCCATAGTCTCCATCACCAAAAGCCCAAACCATCATTCCATCAGCAGAGACAACCAAAGTGTGGTTTAAACCACAAGCCACCTGAGGCAGGAACACGTCATCATAAACTCTGTACATTTTATTAAGACTTCGAAATATTCAAGCTGGCAAATATGCCAAACATAAGTGAGAAAAAAAAAGATGTTGCTTCTTTCTACAGTCACGTCTTTGCATGGCTAACCAAGAAATACTAAATTAGACTCATACTAATGTTTAAATTAATGTTATGATGGTGTGTGGTGTGTACAGGTAAGTTCTTGACTATATTTTGTTGTCCTACCTGTCCAACTTGGTAACCCTCCAGAGCAGTAACCTTCTCTGGCAGCTTCTTGTTCGAGGTGTTGCCCAGGCCCAGTCTGCCATAATCACCATTACCAAACGTGAAAAGCTTCCCATCAGCTGTGACCACTGCTGAATGTTTGAACCCACAGGACATCTGGGAAGGGGAAAAAAAAAACAAAACATGTCAGCAAAAAATAATTAAATAAACAAGTAAATATAAAAACAACAAGAAAATTCAAAGTAGGACCACACCTACACTAAAATGAGGCTAACTAATCTGTAATAAAATCGTACATTATTTACCATTTACTAATGGGTCCCTTTGAGCTGTGATCATCACTTTTACTGGAAGTGAGTAAGATCCATTTTTACAATATGCATTTGAGTAGAGGCAGACTGACCTGCACAACCTCCTCTCCTTGCAGAGCTTCAATCTGTCTGGGTCGGCGCTGGCGGTCACTGTTTCCGTGGCCCAGCTTACCATAGTCCCCGTCCCCCCAGCTGAACACCTCGCCACTCTCTGTCAGAGCCATGGAGTGACCGTCACTGCCACACGAAGTCACCAGCTGAGTCACAACAAAACCTGAGCATAGGAGGGACAACAAACATGACACAAAAGAGTACACCAAATTAAAATGTAGACGTTTTAAGACATTTTTAAAACTACTAAATAAAATTTATTAAGACTTATGTCATGCTCATTACCATGGTCCTGCAGGATTTAAGGATAGACTTCGTTTCAAAACAGTGTTTGGATCTTTACATATGATACAGAAATTGTATTCTTGCATTTCTGTGCTCTAGAGTCTATCTTAGCTCTTGTGGCTTTTTGGAAGTGCACACCCCTTTTGGGAGTGTTGTCATTGCAGTGACTGGTTTGTATGTAAGTACCTTGTTGTCAACACCATTCAAGCTTAGATAAATCACATCAGCCATGATACTCTAATTAAAAATTAAGGTTTACTGGCATCTTTGCTTTAATGTTCTGCCACCTTTTTCACTGCTTTGATTTTTAAAGCTGAGCGCCCATTAGGAATGCACACTAGTTTCCTTTTTTGGATCGTATGGTAGATCTTTGTAAATAAAGTTTAAGACTTTTTAAAACCCTCTAAAGCCTTTTTTGAAGTAACTGAATTCACTGCTTTTAATACTTTTCCAAACCTGCATATACAAGGTGAAGTACATTATTAAAGTTATTGAAGTACAGTAGGGAGCTCTCTTTTTACATTAATAGCATTCTCTCCTGTCCCCTCCAGTCCTAATCATGTTAAATGTTAAATGAAAGATAAACCACTTCTACTACTGTGTTTGTAATGTTTTGTTACATTTTTGTTCCAGCTGTCAGATCCATTTGGGATCCGATTCCTGAGTGGCAACATGCCTACAGTCACTAATATCACAGGTGAACACATCTCTTATGTCTCATCATTCTTTATGGATAGATTTATAAATAGTTAGATTGATAGACAGACAGATACACAGATAGATATGGATTTTTTTGATTATCACCTTGCAGAGCTGAGATGACAGTGAGCACATGCAGGTCATCAGAGTTGCCTTGTCCCAGACGGCCATAGCTACCCTCTCCACAGGCCAACACTGTCCCGTTCGGCTGGATCACAAAGGTGCAGTTCTGACCACACACCACCTGGAGGAGGAGAGATGGCGATACTTGGATGAATAAGCAAATAAAGAGGACTTCAGCAGGGATCAGTTTAGCTGGTAAATACCCTACTGCACAAGTCAGTTAAAATATCAGTGGTTTGGTGAAATTCAAACTCAATCAGATTTAGTGCTTCATAGTCGTATGCCGCCACCAACCAGTCAAATTCATGGTAATGGAATAAATGTGAGGTCACGGACCTTGACCTTTGATCACCAAAATCTAATCAGTTCATCCTTGAGTCCGAGTGGACGTTTGTGCCAAATTTGAATAAATTCTTTCAAGGTGTTCCTGAGATATCTCATTCAAAAGAATGGAAAGGATGGACAACCTGAAAACATAATGAAAATGAAATACTGTAGTTATTCAGAATTATACTTCTATAAAGTTGGGAGACTCACAAGTGACAGACTAAAAAGTAAGAGGCCAAAGTGAAAGCAGCAGAGTCTGGCATATCTTGACTTTTGCCTCTATAGCCCCTTTCAGAGTTTCACTCATTTCCATTAATCTGACAGAATCTGAATGTATCAGCTTCATGTCTGAATGAGCACCCTGGTCACCTTTCTGTAAAGGTCGCAATCCGACTACGGCAGAACTAGTAACATTTACATATCAGTCTGAACTGCATGCAACAGCATTAACGGATAGGCATGCACAACTTGACAATATCAATTGTTATTTGCTATATGCACGCGTACGGTGGCTCTCTCTGTCATGGTCATGGATATGTCTGAATGAAGCCTTGAGGAACATGTAAAAGTGACCTAAAAGGACTTATTACACATCATGTTGCAAACCATAGCACTGGATTCTATACTGTCCTTAATGCAAGTTATTAGCTTTTCTTACCTGCCTCCTAAGTGCCCAGTTCTTTAAAATTGTCCAGTTGGCTCAATTTTTTCTCCTTTACAATGTACCAGGCAATAAAAGTACTGACTGTTCTAATGAAGTATACAAAAACTGCTACATGTACTCTTCATGCTCATGTGCTGTAACTGGATTACAGGTAATTACAAGCAACATGGTGTTTTGTGGATGTAATTTACAAATACATGATGTGTGTTGTCTGTGTACCTTTTGTGCCTGAGAGAATGACGGGGCAGTGGTGGGCACCAGGATGTTTCTACCAGCCTCTGCCAGCTGGCCATGTCGCCCTGCACCCCACAGATAAACATCACACTTCCCACCAAGGTGCCAGTCCTGCAAACACCCAACACACACAAGTGAAAGATGGACAAGTCAAAAAGTGGTTTAAAAACCACAGCTATCACCTTCAGAGTTTGAGGAAATTAAACACAGACAAACCCTTTATTACAGGCTGTCTAGCCATTAATCTAAATTACCTCTGGTCTTGAGGTGGCCCAGGACATGATCTGTTCATCCATACCAGACACCCATTTACTGTTGTCCTGAAGAAACAGGGTGCAAAGGCCGTTATTATGTGCTACACAGGTGGTAATTAGTGAGCATTATAAATTACAGTTCTAACACCTGATGCAGCTGCACAAACATGAGCAGCTTCCCCTCACCATGAGCAGAGCCATTTCATCTTTGGGTACAGGCTCCAGGTCAGGCACAGAGAAGGACTCAGGAAAGGTGGCGCCTCGAGCAAGGGCCTCTGCTGCCTTGACTGTTGTAGAGAAGCAGTCCAACCAAGCCCACTCACTGGCACTCCAGACTGCAGTGCCAGACTCTGGTGGGCAGTGTCGAAGGAGAGGTGGCACAGGGGGGCGACACAGGAGCTGGTCCAGGTGAAGACCCACAGCCAAGGAGGCGAGGCACTGCATATAGGGGCTGTGGACAAGCTGCTCCCCACATACGACATGGGGCTGGAAGTTTACAAAAAGACAATGTCAGCAACAACAGGATGATATTTGAAAAAAAAATTACACACAGATGTTCTAATACTATTAAATACTACTGATCCATGACAAATCCTTGCATTTTATTTGATTATGCACAATAATGAATCAATTTGGTGTATCATCACTTTCTTGGGGCACTTTTCAGGCTCAGAGTGCCACGAAATAAACCCCAGAAACATGGTGTGAAGTTGTCAAATTCTGCTGTGGGCCTAAATAATGGCACACTTTTAAATCTGAATGCAATATTATACATTTCATACAGGCATATGAAATTAAAACAGAGACTGTTCCACTCCAGCCTCAGGTAGACCCTGGTGCAGCATGAAAATGTTCCTCCCCTCTTCCTGACTTTCAAGAACCAGCAGTAACAAGCGATTTTAGCCCTCAAAGCATTAATGACTCAAATTTTGGGACATCTTGGCTAAACACTGGGCTTTGCTAAGTAACAAAAAAGGAATTAAATCAGAACTCTTAAAATCTCATAACAAGAAAAAAAGATAAGTAATGAAACAATACTTTTCCAGTCTCATTATTAAATTATATTAAGGCTATTAAAGAAAGATAATATAAATGGTGATTGGCAGCAGATGCATTAACATGGAGAGCATATTGTCCTTGTACCTTCTCATAAACATACTGCTCCTGCAGCATGACAGGCAATCTCTCCAGGAAGGCCCTCATGCAGGGTGCCATGTTGAGGCCAACTACACCCTGCTTCTTCAGAGCTGTGCGGCAAGTGGCCAGCACGTGGTTGGACACCATGAAGTCTTTGGAGCAGTTCACAACAAGCACATCCTGACAATCAAGCCATGTAAACACACATGACAAATGGAAGCAGACCAGAAAGTTAGTATGTGTTTTAGTGAACCATTGAAGAGTAAGACTCGGGTGAGAAGTCTTACCTTTGATCTGTTGGAGCAGACAGCAACACCCACATCTGGGATCCAGACAATATTCTGGATCGCCCCTGAACCGGCTACTACTGTCTGGAGCACTGACCCATCCTGTCAGAAAGGGGGACACAAACATAATGACTCCAGTGGAAAGGTATTTAGTGGTACTGTAAAGTCTGCAGTGTGATGTGTGAATGCCAGTCGAATTAAATTTCCTTTTATTTTTCCACCTCTATGCTTTTATATGAGGTGTTTTACATACTGTATACATCTGTGTACAGTGGTGGAATGTAACTAGGTACATTTACTCAAGTTCTGTACTTAAGTACAAATCCTCCACTACTGTCTGTGTACTGTGTAGTATTTACATACATCATGTAGGGGTGTTTGTCTATGTTTCTTACCCGCAGGGACCAGATGTTCATGAGGCCTCCCACTCCTCCAGATGCCAGGGCCAGACCATCAGGGCTGAAGGCCAGTGTTCTTACTGGAGTGATGTGGCCCTTCAACTGGAAAACACACACTGCTCCATCTTCTGACCACTGAGAAGACTATGACACAACCACGACAACAGCTTGTAAGTGAAAGAACACACTATCTTGGCTGAACGTTTGTGATCTTGTCAAAAATGTGCTCCTAGCACAGCTCCTAGGACTGTATTGCATTTTACCCCATTTGCATTATAATATCTTGAAAGAAGAAAAACATCTTCATCAGTTCACACTTTCATTCATATTGGCCTCAGTCAAGCAACAAATCAAGGTAACTATTTATGAAATGAATAAAAGTACCATGAATTTAGTTTTCGCTTCATTCTCCCACCATCCCTCTGAGTCAAAGGAACAGGATTCTGGAAAGTTGGAGATGTCTCGAGGAACAGTCCAGACTGAGACTAGTCCATTCTGGCAGCATCTGAAAAACAAAGCTGTCTATGTTAAAGTAAAAAAGGACATTTCTCTGGCAGAAAACATAACTGAACAAAAAACAAAAGTAATTGGCTAAATGGCACCAAAATATAATGACAAAAAGTGATGACAGCTACATCACTGCAATTTGAAAAAACATGATGATGAGAACACCTCAAACTTTTTTTAAAATAAGAAAGGAAAGAAAGACAGAAAGAAAGAAAGGAAGGAAAGCCACAGTACAGCCTATTATTACAGAACAACATACACAGCTAGCATGCTGAGGGGTTTAGGCCCATGCCCAGGCAGGCTGCACCAGGCCACGCCATTAACCAGGGAAGGGTGTCTAAGACTCTGTAGGCAGTGCCAGCCAGAGCCAGAGCCCGAGTCAGAATGAGAGTCCTGGCTGGCCCATAGCTTCACTGTCTCCTCTTTGGCACAGGTCAATAAGATCTGACCAGTAGGACTCCACTTTATACTGGTGATTGACTCCTGGAAAAACAGATCAGATTTTATTAAAGGAATCCGACTATAATCTTGCATGTTTATAAGTTTCATAAATATCTTTCTTTGAAAAAATATAGATTGCAACTGATTCATTTTGTAGCTCTAGTTCACCTTGTGTGCATCTATGACCACAATGGCTCCCTTTTCCAGGGGCTCTTTGGATCCAATCAACAGCTTTCCATCTGCATAGCCCACAGCAAAAGGCTTGTCTTCACTATACCAGGCAATGTGCATCACTGCGACTGAGAGAGGATAAAATTTCAGTTTGGCAGACAGGGACGTCATTACCTAATATAGAAAAACTACTTACAAACTAGGTTTGTCAATCAGAAAGAAAATATAATGCAAAAAACACTTATCACACAGAAAAATGGCCTAAAAGAAAAACTAAAAATACCCCCATCATACCATTTTTCCTGTAGCAGTGCTCCAGCTCAGTGCGGTGCATAACGGCGGTATCCAGGACCTCAATGAGGCCCAGGGATCCGTCCATTCGTCCCACAAGCAGCATGTCCTTGGGTTCCCCGCACCACAAGGACTCTGGCTCCTCTTCAGGCCAGGTTAGAGCAGATACCCAGTGAGGCTGCACATCCAAAATGCCCTTACCACCTTAGAGGTGAGAAAAGGAGATGACAGTTACAGCAGTGTTGTCGTTATTGCATTGATAATAAACACTATATACAGTATAAACAGTTTTTAAAGGGGAAAAATCTGTGATTGTGGCTTTTATGTGAAAATAGCATTGTATATAATGGTTTTGACTTGCTTTTGCAATAAAGACAGACGCATCTTAACACCACCAGAGAAGATAAGCTCAGAGAAGCTAATAATGTAACTGTGGACTTTCATCCTTGAGGCGACCAAATCAAGGACAGATGGTGCATGCTGCAGGGTGTGTGGTGGGAGGAAATTATGATTGGAGCGCTTCCAATCCCATAGGCATATTTATGTTTAATGGGAGCTATAAAATCTTAAAACCCTCTCATTCATATTCTGCAGACTGCACACAACAGTAATAGAAGCTGGGCCACATAATACATTTTATACTCAGTTTTTCAAATCAGCTAAACTGGATCTCATCGTTAACATATTTTCTACTAAAAAACATAATGGGGACCCCAAAGGAGGTTGAAAATAAATAAATAAATAAATGTTTACCATTAACTTGCCAGATGTTAACCATTTTCTCCATGGCGGAGGCCAAATATTTTCCAGTGACACTCCAGGCCAGAGGGGACAGGAAAGGATCGCTAGGAGATCCCAAGCCTGACATGCTCTCCTCTGAAGAGCCATCACTGAAAAGGGACAACACAGAACAATTACTTATTTGGCCATTCAGAGCTAAACACTGACATTTTTGCACTTTGTAAAGTTATGGGGAGTGTGCTGCCTATTTACACATTCTCTTCCTTTGCTCTGTTTTGGTCTTTTCTAACTTCTAAGGAAAATATCAGGCAGCTGCCTGCTTCCCTGAAGTTGAAGAGAGAAGTGTTTGCAGGCCTGAAAACTAAAACAATGTACTAAAAAGATGCTAAACTCCTATGAGGGAAACTGTGGAAATGGGTGATAGTTCACTGTAGGTCCGCTAATCCTACATCCGCTTTCACATTAAAATTCAGACCTGGTCACACCAAAAGTGGCTGCAGCAAAACTAATCTGCAGGACTTCACTAGTATAATAAAACAAATAGGCCACACTGTATCTGCAGAAAAGTAACAGAGCAGAGCATAGAGCAGACTTATTAACTGACAGACCTCAAAAATTATTTTCAAAGGTAACTGTGGTTTCTGCTTAGTGTTTAACAAGGCTTACTTTTTATTGAAGATACAGGTCTGCTGCAGGGTGTACTGGCTCTTGGTTACATTCCACACCCTGACTGTCCCATCATTGCCACTGGTGGCCAACAGGCCTTTCTTAGTGCACCAACAACATGTGATGACCTGGGTTAATCAGAGAAAGATTTATGAAATACCAAAACAAAATGCACGCATCGCATAAACTGCAGCTAATAAATGCATTGTAGTGTTTCAAAACAACTCAGAGCTATAAACAGGGCAAGGAAAATTGCCAACCCTGCTCTGGTGAGCTTCTAGCTTGATGAAGGAGCACTTTCGCAGGTCCCCTGCCATATCAGCAAAGGTCTGTGGCCGGCTCTGGTTGTTGTCACGGTCATGGGCAGCCAGTGTGCGGACCAGCTGCTGGGCAGCCCACTGGCGGTGCTGACAGGCAGCAGGCCGCCAGTGCATTGGCCAGCTCCAGAGGGCCTACAGCGGAAGGATTATGGGAAGGATGGGCATACAAACGCGCAATTAGACCTGCTCGACATGGAACACAAGGTGACAAGGTTGCCCAGTGAGTGAGAGAAGGAACACCAATGAAAAGGACAAACACAAAAAAGCACAGAAAAACCAAAATGTGACTCAAGTGAAAAGAGAGCTACAGTGCAGTCTAGCAAAGCCTGAGCCATGTCTGCATGGAAGCTTAACATTACTGATGAATTACAAAAATGTACACAAATACATGCTAATTATTATTTTGTGACATCTAACATCTAGGCCAGCAAAACGTCCCCAGCAAAAATGTATATTTTTAATTAATATGCAGAATTAAAACGTGCATTTTGTTTTTAAAAGAAAAACAAAGTAATAGCCAATATCCATTCACTTATCACAAAAACTACCTGTACCTGCATGATTATAAGCATGAGATATATGGATAGCCAGTGAGATAAAGAACAGACCAGATAACATGGAATAATAACTTATTGCAAGATCCAGCTCTTCTAAGTCAACAAACCTCTTTTATCCATGTCCGCCTTGTCATAGGCAGGTCTGAGTCTGGCCCCTTTATCTGCCAGCAAAGCTACTAGAGCCTGTGTGACCACAAAGTTGGGAGACGTGATGAGCTTGTTCTCCTCAGTCACTCCACGTAGAAAGCTGGGCAGGAACTTCCTCTGGATGGGATCATCCACTGTGGTCAGGTTCATGCCTGTAGCTGCGGAGATCAGGTTCTGTAACAGAGAGTCACAGCTTTCATTTTAAACAGTAAATTAACAGGTAACTGGGAACAGATCAGACAAATACAGAGGCTGCTTACTAATATATGATTACATTTACTTATGAAACAAGGAAATATAAAACTAAAGGTATGTCTCTGATAACAGACTACCCTAAATGGGGGCATGGTTTCTTCTCCTGTTAAAATAAAGTAATGTATGTGTAGCATTTACAGAATCTACAGCACTGAAAGGATAGATCCTTAAAGTGCCCGACTAGCTGCTTTGCCTGCTTAAAGTATTTATGCTGAAGTAAGATGGCTCCTGGCTCAGATGTGTTATTACTCATTTCACTCTATGGAAGAAGGTGAATAAGCATAATTCTGGCATTAGGATTATTTTGAACAAATCTTTAAAATGTTTAACTGATCTTCATTTTAAAGGTAATGCTTACACTGTTACATATAACATCACTCCTTTAATCACTCCATATACAAGTATTTCTAGTAAACATAATATCTAATCACTTCCAGCTTTATTACTGATCACTGCTAGCAGATAAAGCATCTTACCTTGGGTTAAATGTCAATATACAGCACCAAAGATTGCAATCAATAAATCCTTTGATTCGGAAGAATTACTTCCTTAAACACACTATAAATGAAAAACAAGCTAGAATTAATAACTACTGGCAATAACTCTTTCCAGTGAGCTGTTAAACTGAATTCTAGAACCAAGCTCAAAAAAGCCATTAAAAGAAATGAGATGAAGATCGGTACTGGGCTGAAGAGCCCGTTATGTACCTGAGTACAGAGCTGCACTAACAGCTTTGCAGCATTGGGACTGTTGGAGGCCAGGCAGCCCACTGCTGTACTGAGGTAAGCCAGACAGGAGATGGGCTTGCTCGCTTTGGCGGCTCCACGGGGCCTTTCAGCATGCCCCGAGCCTGCTGTAGGACTGGTGGAAAGACCGGCCCGGCCCGCTGCCGCCAGGCACATCAGCCTGACCAGAGTCCTGATGTCTGTCAAACCAAGAGACTCCAGACCTGCTGCAAGGCTGCAGCTCGAGCCACTGTGTGGGAGGGAAGCAGTGGTGGTGAAGGAGAGACGTAACGAAATAAAGAGAGAACGAGAAAGCATGGATTTTATATCATAGAGAGGGTCAAGAACATTTAAAGAACAAGTTCATATTCCATAAAATGAATAAAATATTTTGGGGATTATAAGAGCTCACTTAATTTACATTAGCGGCCATGATATAACACATATACTGTATATCTAAGCAATTAATTTCATCTTGCTACATCCCTCCCAGATTTCATTATTATTATGTCAATTTTTGTGAATTAATGTCACGCTGAGCAGAATCTTTACATGACTATGACACCCCTCAAGTATGACTGTATAAATTCTTTGAACAAAAGCATCTCTTTTTTCATACTACCAACCAGAACATATCAAGGTCAGGCATTTTCTAATTCCATACACAGTGGCTTTACATTACAAATATCTCAAGTAAATGGATGGTATTTATTGTAAATAAATTCACAGATTCCCTCTCATTCACCCATTTACAAACACTGATGCCAGGAACAGGCTATGAGTTGTTTAGGCCAATGTTTCCATCATCCAATTGTCACAACCTAAAGAAATTACAATTTTCAGCTCCACAACTACAATCTGTTGCAGTGACAGAAAACTTTCATGCAGGAAGATGTGATTTCAGAAGTCTACTGTTGAGAGAACCTGACAAAATTCTACAATCCATTTATGCCCCATAAGTTGAGTAGTCATGTTCTCGTGTTGGTGAAGCCTACCTGACAGACAGTAAGGACAGGGCTCTCATCACCATGGTCCTAGCCAACAGCACCTGGGCTGCAGCGGTCACCCTCCTCAGCGCCATCACTCGGTCATGAGGGCTCTGCAGGGCTGCTGCCTGCTCCCCAAGGGTCACCCGGCCTGAAGAGCTCTTATCTACTGAGGTCTGACAGCCTAAACACAAACACACACTCCATTTATTACTTTTATATATAAAAGTGGTTACATGGTTAAAGGCCAACATCACATCCAACACAAAACTATATGACAAAAAAAGCATTAAAAATGTTGTACCACAGAAGTAATGAGTTTATGAACCTCATCCTCACCTATCTGCAGCAGGGTCTCCTCCATACTGTTGGTGGCTGTCACCATGGCTACAGAGGCTCCCAGTGGGTCGCTGTCAGGGAACTGAACAGCCTCTGGGACGATCCGGCGCTCACTCAGACCCAACGGGCCGGCCAAAAGCTCAAACTCTTCCTCCCCAGTCAACTTCTCGTCTTCATCAACATCCAGCATGTCCCAGTCCTCTGCAACGGGATGCACAAACACACACACACACACACACACACACACAGTTAGAAATAAAAAACAAACACATACAGTTGCATTCAAACATTTGGGAAACCCTGGGAAAATTACAAATTTTGTTGATTGTTTTAAATGAAATACATTGGATACATATTTACTTTTTTCCCTTCTACAGGAGAGAGAGAGAAAAAAAAAACATACAAAACATGTACTACCCTAGGAGTTCCAAAACATTAACTTAAACTGCATTTGGGTGTATCACTGCAAGAAATATTAACTATAACACTGAATTTCAAATCAACATTTCAACATCAAGTCTTACCTTCATAGACACTGTCCTGCTTTCCCAGGAGGTCAGGAGCCTGTCCCTTATACCTGGATACATACCACAGCATAAATAAGATTACACTGATGATGATTAGTAGTTTGAAATTTAAGAAAACCAATATTTGACTAATAATGGTTTTCTTTAGGATTTAGCTCACTAACTTCTGAAGATGCATCAAATCTGTTGACACCCTCCTGAATCTGCAGAGTTTCAGCTAGAATTTGATCTTAGTTGCAAGTCTGTAGCATTATTTGTTCTGTGGGCCATACCGAAAAAAATTCGTCCAAATCCGCTCATTAATTTTTGAATTATACTGTGAATAAACAAAACTGCTTGTTATGGAGTAGCGATGGATTACTACTAGTTGATAAATTGGGCAAATATATCCACTGATCCAAAATTTGAGATGCTTATTACAAATTGTTTATTCTTTGCAAGTAAAAAATAAATAGCAGTTGGTATTATTATTTTCCCCAACCTTCAACAATCCAGTATTGGTTGAGCTGTAGTTATTATCTCTGCCAGAAGGTTATGTTTTTACCAGTGTTTGTTGTTTTCACCAACTCTATGTGAAATCAACTTGGTTGTATGAGTCATACCAGAGCAAAAACATGAATAATACTAAAGCACATTCAGCAAAAGTATTTTCTTGTTCCCTTCATTCTTCAGTATGCATACCTCTCCACAATGGGGACTTTGGCCTTGCTTTTGATGGCCAAGTACTTCTCTCTGCAACTGCCACACAGCAGGTAGTAAGGGTTTCCACTGCCGCACTCCCCTCCAAACCAGCCATCTACGTAGGAGCCGTTACTGCGGTAGCCTTGTCGGTTCGCACTGCGGCCGCAGCCCGGGTGGCTCTTCTTCATGTGTTGATTGAAGTTGGCCACGTTGGCCTCACACAGCTCACACACGACCACTTCATCTCGGTCATCCGTCTCACATACATGCTGCAAGGTGTGGTACAATTACGGAGAAACACACAGACACACATTGTATTCATGAAGACAAAATGTGTATAAACATGACATCCATGACAAAGAGGTTAGGCTTCAGATCAGCAGTAAAGCATTCATGCAATGTAACATGTTAGAGACATAAAGGAATCATAGCTTTGCATTTTTGAATTCCAAGCAAAAGCCAATTATCAGCATTCAAAATTATCATTCTGTTAAGTCTTTTATTTCATGTTAGACCTAATGAGCGACTGCGCTTTAACTTAAAGTGTGGCTGAACAGGAAAGAGAGCATTATAAACCCGAT